CCCCCCCCGCAGCAGGATCCCCTCCCCTTGGGTCTCTGGATCCCATACCCCCTCCCCAATTTCCTCCATTCCTCTGGGTTTGGGGGGTGCCCCCGGCATGGGGAGGGGCCCTAGGCCTAGGTGCCGGTAGCTCATGGGGGTGGGGGAGCAGTGGCTCTCTCCCCCTCCCTTTTCTCAACTCTACTCTGCGGGAACCAGGCTGTGCCCCCCTGACCCCACAGCCGGAGTGGGCGTGACCAGGGTGCATGGTGACCCCCATCATCTGTCCACCCCTCGGATCTATCCATGCATCTATCCATGTCTTTCTCCCCCCCACCCCCCACTTCCCCTGCTCAGCACATTGCCCCGCTGACCCCGCCAGCGGCGGGGGGAAAGTCCGGGCCTGGCCCCATTATCAGCATCTCTCAGGGCCAAGTGGGAGCGAAGGTTGGGCTGGAAGGAGGGATGGCAGTGGTGGAGGCGTGGGGTGGGGGATGGGCAGGCAGGAAGTGCCTCCTCCAGCCCTGGGGTGGATGGGATGGGTGGTTAGCGGGGGGGGGGGATGTTGCCCGGGGGGGGGGCAGGGCTGGCGCAACCCATTAGGCAACCTAGGCGGTCACCTAGAGCGCTACAATTTGGGGGGCGGCGACTGCGGAGGTATTTCGGCGGCGGGACCTTCCATCGCCTAGGGTGGCCGAAAAGCTGGTGGCGCCCCTGGAGGGGGAGATGGGCTCAGATCCTGTCCCACAGAGATGGGGGTAGAGGAAGAGAGACGGGAGGAGAGGGAGGTACTGGGGAGGGAAGGATGCATGGATTGATGGAGGAGTGCGGGGGGCAATGGATGGTTATGTTGATACAATTACTCCGTGGAACTCCCTGCCACAGGATAATTATCCCCCCCCCACTGAGCCTGTGGGCCTCCCCCCACTAGATCTCACTGCAGGAGGTGCTGAGCAGGGCTGGCTGGGGGCTGACATGGAGCGCACGGTTTCCTAGAGAGGGGCCTATATAAGACAAAGCTGCAAATATCGGGACTGTCCCTATAAAATCGGGACATCTGGTCACCCTACTGGATCCAGGGAGGGGCTGACCCCAACTGGCAGGGCTGGGGGAGCCGCGCTGTGGTCTCGAGAGGGTTGTGCTCCTCCCTGGGGGGCACCTGGGCTAGATGAGGAGAAAGAGAGAGAGAAGGAAAGAGGGAGATGGCAAAGGGAAAGAGAAAGAAAGAAAGGTAGGTAGATGGAGGGACAGAAAGAAAAGGAAAGATGAAGTGATGATTGAAAGAAAAGTTGAAGTGAAAGAACAAGAAAAAGAAAGATGGAGTGATAGAAAGAGAAGAAGAAAGGAAGAGAAATGGAATGATAAAAGGAGAAAGAAAAGAACGGGACAGAGAAGTGGAGTGATGGAAAGAACAAGACAGAAGTGGAGTGATGGAAAGGAAAAGCGGGAGCGAGGAGGAACTGAAAGGGGGATGCAGCCAGCAGAAGGGAAGTGGCTCTGGGCCGGCCGGGGGAGGAGTCTGGCTCCCCCGCGGGTCGGTCGCTGGGAGCCGGGGCTCCAGCTCCATGTGAGAGCGAGGGAGCGAGCCGGAAACAGGGACCGCTGGGGAGCAGAAACCCCCTGGCAGAAGGAGAACTCCGCGCTGGAAGGAGGGAGCGAGAAATTCCCCGAGGGAGGAGTGCCGGGCAAGAGATCTCTGTATAACCTCCGGGCGAGCGAGTGAGAGGTGCCGAGGGCAGAACTGGGCGCCGGAAAGGGGGAGCAAGAAAAGCCCCCGGGGAGAAGTCTCAGCTGGAAGGCGAATATTCCCGGGCTGGCGAGCCCCGTGTAAACCGGAGCAAGGGAAGGAAGCAGGCGACGAGAAGGAGGAAGCCGAGCGAGATCAAACCGGTCTCGGGTTTCCAGGCTGCGCTCTCTCCCCTCCTCCGCCGGGTATAGGACGGAAAAGGGAAACGAGTAAACAAGGAGAGACAAGCGCTGAGATTTCGTGAGCAAGGGGCCGGAGCGGCCGGTTCCAGAGAGCTCGGACTGAACCGCACCAGAACCAGTTTCCGATCCGGGTCTGGAAGGAACCAGCTGCCGTCAGAACCAGAGTGCCAGGGACAGAACTGGACCAGTTCTAGGGGACACAAGCCCAGAACTGATGTGAGAGGGAACTGGATCTGCGTGTCTGGCACCAGAATCAGAGGCCCCAAACCAGCCTGGTTCTAAGGGTACCAGATACAGAGTGTGAAACAGAACAACAGTCCCAGTCCAGAACCAACTGGGTTCTAGGAGGTTCAGACCCAGACCGAGACAAAACTAATCCAGTCCCAGGGAATCCAGAATCATCTGGGTTCTAGATGATCTGAACCCAGAACTGGCCCAGTTCCAGGGACACCAGAACCAGCTGGGTTCTAGGAGATCTGAGTCCAGAACAACAGAGACAGAACCACTCTGGTTCTAGGGGATCGAAGCCTAGAACCAAGAAGACAGAACCAGCTGGGTTCTAGGGAGCCAGAACCAGAACAGGAGGGAGATACACAGAACCGCTCCGGTTCTAAAAGATCTGAGTCCAGAACCAGCAGGACAAGACCATTCTGGCTTTAGAAGATCTGAGTCCAGAACCAGCCCAGTTCCCAGGCATACGTGTCCAGTACAAGTGACTCCGAAGCAGCCCAGTTCTAGGACCCAGCTGGCTCCGGATCCACTCCGGATCGGTGCCCAGTGTTCCCCAGCACCGTCTGGTCCAGTCCCCTACCATGGAGGAGGGTGCACGGCGCCGGGGCGGTTCCGAGAAGGCCACAGATGGCCCAGATCAGCCGGCAGAGGGTGGCGTGGGCCTCAAGAAAGAGATCGGGCTAGTGAGCGCCTGCGGCATCATCGTGGGTGAGTGGGGGGGTGCAGGGGAGGAGGGACCCCAACTCTGGTCAATGGGGCCACTGCCCCCCCCACTGTGCCTCGTTCTCTCCTGTCTCTCCGCCTCTCCTTCCCCCTTTCTCGCCCCCACCAAGCCTGGCTGGCTCTATAAATAGCCTGGAGCTGCCTGTCACTTCGTGCTCCTGTTATTCTGATCCGATTAGCGCTCCCAGTGCTGCCAGCCCCCCCCTCAGCCGGTGAGGGGGGCCCCACCCCAGAGCCAGCCACATCTCAGTGCAACGCGAGGGGTCTATGTATAACTAGCCCCCATCCCCCACCCCAGAGCCAGCCGCATCTCAGTGCCGCGCGAGGGGTCGCTCGTATAACTAGCCCCCACCGTCCCCACCCCAGAGTCAGCCACATCTCAGTGCCACGCGAGGGGTCTCTGTATAACTAGCCCCCATCCCCCACCCCAGAGCCAGCCGCATCTCAGTGCCACTTGAGGGGTCTCTGTATAACTAGCCCCACCCCCCCCACCCCAGAGTCAGCCACATCTCAGAACTGGGCAAGGGGTCCCTGTATAACCAGCCCCCGCACTCCTCCCCAGAGCCGGGCGCTCCAGCCTGCAGTAGCAGAGGACGGGGTCAGGGCTGTTTTCCGCTCGGATGGATCGGAGCCATGGAGCGTGAATTCCTGGCGGCTCCATTAATCCTGCTCCAGATGGCGCCGCTCAGCAGGTGCCCGGAGACGCCAGTGCATGGGGGAAGGTGGGGGGCTCAGAGACAGGCCCAGCCCCCTAGACACCCCCTGCACTGCCCCTCACTCCCGACTCGCAGCCCCTGCTAGCCCAGCCCTGACCCCCCCAGCCCTGCCGGTGCCCCTCACTCCCGACCCGCAGCCCCCTGCTAGCCCAGCTCAGACCCCCCAGCCCTGCCGGTGCCCCTCACTCCCAACCCGCAGCCCCCTGCTAGCCCAGCCTGACCCCCACAGCCCTGCCTGTGCCCCTTCCCCCCACCAGGTCAGAGTCCCTTCCCATGGCCTAGTTTATGGGGGGAAATCTAACCTGATAAGATTACAGTTAAGGACTCTGCCCCACTCCTTCCCTTCCCGCATCCCTCCCTCCTCCCCAGCCAGGATCCCGCGCCCCCCCCATGCCCCTTCCCCTGCGGCTACCCCTATTGGGGGTCCCCCACACTTCTCTGCCAGCCGAGAGGCAGGGCTGCGGGTCGGGAGTGAGGGGCACGATCGTTAATGAAGGGCTGGTTGCTAATGAGGGGGTTAGTTCCGAGTCTAGAGCCTCCATCCCCCCACCAGGCCCTGGGCCCTCTGCCCCCTTCTCCCCTTTCCTCCATTGCCATCCCTCAGCAAAAACCCACCTCCCATTCCCCCCCAGCCTTGCACCTCTCCCCCTCTCTTTGTAATGCTGTACACCCCCCCCCCCGGAAGCCATGCTGCTCCACCACCCCCACACCTTGGCTCCCACCCACAGCCACAGCAGTGTAATTTGTTAATGGAGCCCATGGAGCCAGGAAAGAGGGCGGCTGGCTGGTGAGAGAGACGGGGATATGTATGAGGGGAGGCGGATGGAGGCACGGCTAGCGTAGGGGATCTGGAATGACATTTAAAATTTTATCATTAGACTCCAGAGATAACACTCCCCTGAGATGCAGGGGGCAGTTCACCCCTCTCCGAGCGACTGGCCCAGGCTCTCGGCAGACTCAGGCAGCGGCGGGGCAGTTCACTCCTCTCTGAGCGACTGGCCCAGGCTCTCGGCAGACTCAGGCAGCGGCGGGGCAGTTCACTCCTCTCTGAGCGACTGGCCCAGGCTCTCGGCAGACTCAGGCAGCGGCGGGGTAGTTCACAGCTCTCCGAGTGACTGGCCCAGGCTCTCGGCAGACTCAGGCAGCGGCGGGGTAGTTCACAGCTGTCCTAGCGACTGGCCCAGACTCTCGGCAGACTCAGGCAACGGCGGGGTAGTTCACAGCTCTCCAAACGACTGGCCCAGGCTCTCGGCAGACTCAGGCAGTGGCGGGGTAGTTCACAGCTCTCCGAACGACTGGCCCAGGCTCTCGGCAGACTCAGGCAGCGGCGGGGTAGTTCACAGCTCTCCGAGCGACTGGCCCAGGCTCTCGGCAGACTCAGGCAGCGGCGGGGCAGTTCACAGCTCTCCGAGCGACTGGCCCAGGCTCTCGGCAGACTCAGGCAGCGGCGGGGCAGTTCACAGCTCTCCGAGCGACTGGCCCAGGCTCTCGGCAGACTCAGGCAGCGGCGGGGTAGTTCACAGCTGTCCTAGCGGCTGGTTCAGGCTCTCGGCAGACTCAGGCAGCGGCGGGGTAGTTCACAGCTGTCCGAGCGACTGGCCCAGGCTCTCGGCAGACTCAGGCAGCGGCGGGGCAGTTCACTCCTCTCTGAGCAACTGGCCCAGGCTCTCGGCAGACTGAGGCAGCGGCGGGGTAGTTCACAGCTGTCCTAGCGGCTGGTTCAGGCTCTCGGCAGACTCAGGCAGCGGCGGGGCAGTCTCCATCTAGAGCCTCTCCGAGTGACTGGCCCAGGCTCTCGGAAGACTCAGGCAGTGGCGGGGCAGCCCTGTCTCTAACCCCCGTCCCCATCTCTCCGCCCCCAGGTAACATCATTGGGTCGGGGATCTTCGTGTCGCCGAAGGGCGTGCTGGAGAATGCGGGCTCCGTGGGGCTGGCGCTGCTTGTGTGGATCATCACGGGGCTGATCACGGCCGTGGGGGCGCTGTGCTACGCGGAGCTGGGTGTCACCATCCCCAAGTCCGGCGGCGACTACTCCTACGTCAAGGACATCTTTGGGGGGCTGGCTGGGTAAGGAGGCAGGGCCCCCGGGGGGCTGGCTGGGGGGCAGCAGGGGCCAGACCCCCTCTCACGCCCTGCCGTGCCCCCCAGGTTCCTGCGGTTGTGGATCGCGGTGCTGGTGATCTACCCCACCAACCAGGCCGTCATCGCCCTCACGTTCGCCAACTACGTGCTGCACCCGCTCTTCCCCACCTGCCTGGCGCCTGAGGGCGGGCTCCGCCTCTTGGCGGGCGTGTGTCTGCGTGAGTACCCTGCCACTCCCAGTGCTGCCACCACTACTCTAGCTGGTACCTGCAGCCGGCCCCAGCTGCGCTCTGGGGGGCCCCGAGTCGCCGAGTCACTGCTGGCTCAGCACGAAAGTGTCTGCGGGCGTCTGGCTGGCAACATGTTTGTGTCCCTGTGTCCTGCCGCTCCCTGGGTGGGGACAAGCCAGCAGAGATTGGAGGGGGGCAGGGCTGGGCTGGCTGGGGCTGTAGGTCGGGAGTGAGGGGCACCGGCAGGGCTGAGGGGGCAGAGCTGGGCTAGCAGGGACTGCGGGTTGGGAATGAGTGGCACCGGCAGGGCTGGACTAGTAGGGGCTGTGGGTCGGGAGTGAGGGGCACTGGCAGAGCTGTGGGGGGCAGGGCTGGGTTAACAGGGGGCTGCAGGTCGGAAGTGAGGGGCACTGGGCTGGAGGGGCACGGCAGGGCTGGGCTAACAGGGGGCTGCGGGTTGGGAGTGAGGGGCACCAGCAAGGTGTTATCTGGGGATCGGTTTCCCGTCTGGGCGCTGAGGCCAGTTGTGGGGGCTGGGTCCGTTCTCTGAGTGCTGGTGACTGTGGCGGGGGTGAATGCTGGACTGTGTGCAGGGCACTGTTGGGTTGGGGGTGGCGGGGGTGTTGGGTTGGGGAGTGTGAGGCGGGTGGTGGCGGTGGGGGATGTGCATGGGGGGTGTGGGAGAATATTGGGTTGGGAGTCTGGGAGGGTATGCAGAGGGTGTTGGGGTGCAGGGAGTGTGGGGGGGTGTTGAGGGGGTGTTGGGTTGGGGGTGCGCGGGGGACGGGTGGGCATGTGAGAGGTGGGGGGCTGTTGCGGTGTGGGAGGATGCATGGGGGTGTTGGGGTGTGGGGTGGGTGCGGGGGTGTTGAGTTCATGGGGTGTTGGGGTGTGTGTGAAGATGTTGGGGTGTGGGGTGTGCGTGGGGGTGTTGCGGTGTGGGAGGGTGGGGATGTGTGCATGGGGGTGTACAGAAGGTGCAGGGTGTGTGGGGGGGTGTTGGGGTGTGTGGGGGTGAAGATTCGGGGGTTTGCGTGGGGGTGTTGGGGTGAGGGGAGTGTGCGGGAGTGTGCATGGGGGTGGGGGAGGATGCAGGGGTGTGCATGGGAGTGTTGGGGTGTGGGAGGATGGGGGAAGATGGGGGGTGTGCGTGGGGGTGTTGGGGTGTGGGGAGGATGCGGGGGTGTGCGTGGGGCTGGGGGAGGATGCGGGGGTGTGCGTGGGGGTGGGGGAGGATGCGGGGGTGTGCATGGGAGTGTTGGGGTGCGGGAGGGTGCGGGGGTGTGCATGGGGGTGGGGGATGTGGGGGTGTGCATGGGAGTGTTGTGGTGTGGGGGTGTGCATGGGGGTGTTGGGGTGTGGGAGGGCGTTGGGGTACATGGGAAGATATTGGGGGGGGCATGTGGCTGGCAGGAGGGTACCGAGCGGGGGTGGCTCTGGCGGGGGCTGGGCGGGAAGTTGTTTACAGCCTGTGGCGAGGGGGGGAACCTCCTCCCCCCCCAGCTCTGCCTGTCCTGGTGTCAGGTTCCAGGCGAGGAGAGGGGGTGGCTCGGGGGCGGGGAGGGGAGAGGGGGATGGGCTGTTTGGTGCAGTCGGGGCCTGGAGCCAGCCCCTCCCCCCATTTTCCTGGACTCTTTGCACCTCCCCCCTTGCAGCAGCCTGGCCACGGGACCCAGGCGTCCGGGGCATTTGAGTCAATGGGGCTCCTGCCCAGCCCCTGGCTGAGATCCCCACAGCGGGCAGCTCCGTCGCCACAACATCCCCGGCCCAGGGTGGTTATCTCCCCGGCGGGGCCAGGGTGACCTTGGGGGGCGGGCAGAGCCCTGCCCCACCCCCGCCTAAGCCCTCCCTCTGCCCCCAGTGCTGCTGACATGGGTGAACTGCGCCAGTGTGCGCTGGGCGACGCGGGTGCAGGACATCTTCACGGCCGGGAAGCTGCTGGCCCTGGCGCTCATCATCATCATGGGCATCGTGCAGATCTGCAAGGGTGAGACGGGGCACCGGGACCCCCAGGCCAGCTGGGCACGGGGCAGGCACCAAGGGGGTATTGGGACAGCTGGGCGCAGGGCGGGCACCAGGGGGGGCAGGGGGACAGCCGGGCCGGCTGGGCGCAGGGCATGGCACCGGGGGGCAGGGGGACAGCCGGGCCGGCTGGGCGCAGGGCAGGGCACCGGGGGGGCAGGGGGACAGCCGGGCCGGCTGGGCGCAGGGCAGGGCACCGGGGGGGCAGGGGGACAGCCGGGCCGGCTGGGCGCAGGGCAGGGCACCGGGGAGCAGGGGGTACACATGCCAGGTGACGCCTGTGTGCAGGGCACTACTACTGGCTGGAGCCGCGGCACGCCTTTGAGTCCTTCGCACAGGTGGACGTGGGCATGGTGGCGCTGGCGTTCCTGCAGGGCTCCTTCGCCTACGGCGGCTGGAACTTCCTCAACTACGTCACCGAGGAGCTGGTCGACCCCTACAGGTCAGCATGGGACCCCGGTGTCCGGGCCCCGCACGCCGCTGTCAGCGCCCGGCTGGGGAACTCTGGCGTCCTGGCCCCACACCCTCGCTGTCAGCACCCGGCCAGGGAACTCCGGCGTGCTGGCCCCACACTCCCACTGTCAGCGCCCGGCCGGGGAACCCCGGCATCCGAGCCCCCCCGCCTGCTGTCAGTGGCTGGTCGGGGAACACCAGTGTTCGGGCACACCCCCCCACCCCCCCCGCTGTCAGTGCCTGGCCGGGGAACCCTGACGTCTGGGCGCTGCCGACGTCAATCCCTCCCTTCCCTGGGGTCACAGTGCCCCCTAATATGGAACCCTGGTGTCCGCGGGATGGCAGTCTGCCTTGGGGGGACCCCGGCTTCCGGGGGGCTTCGCGTACTCACACTCCCCCCTCCCCAGGAACCTGCCGCGGGCCATCTTCATCTCCATCCCCCTGGTGACCTTCGTCTACGTCTTCGCCAACGTGGCCTACGTCACCGCCATGTCGCCCCAGGAGCTGCTGGCCTCCAACGCCGTGGCCGTGGTGAGACCCGCCCCCAGCCAGAGCCCTGCCCCTGCCTGAGCCCCGCCCACAGCCCCCCCCACCCCACCAACGGAGCCTACGTCACTGCCATGTCGCCCCAGGAGCTGCTGGCCTCCAACACCGTGGCTGTGGTGACACCCGACCCCGCCTGAACCCTGCCCCCAGCCAGAGCCCCGCCCCTGCCTGAGCCCCACCCAGAGCAGGAGCTGCTGGCCCTGCCCCTGCATTGAGCTCTCTCCCTGACTCCTCCCCTCTTTCCTCCCCAGACGTTTGGGGAGAAGCTGCTGGGTGTCATGGCCTGGATCATGCCCATCTCCGTGGCCCTGTCCACCTTCGGGGGTGTGAATGGCTCCCTCTTCACCTCCTCCCGGTGAGTGACCCTGCCCCTTGGGGGGAGGGGATGGAGTCTCCTCCCTTGTCTCCCCGCAGCCTGGCGTTCACCCTGAACCCTACTGATGGCACCGAGAGCTCTCCCATGCTTACGTCTCCCCTCCCCCACAGGCTGTTCTTCGCAGGAGCCCGTGAGGGCCACCTCCCCAGCCTGCTGGCCATGATCCACATGCAGCGCTGCACCCCTATCCCCGCCCTACTCTTCACCGTGAGTCACTGGGGTGGGGGGGAGCTTGGAGAGTGGGGGAGGAGTCTCTGGATCAGGGGCGTGGCTTGCGGAGTGGGTGCTGGGTCTCTAGTCCCAGGGGTGGGGCTTGCGGCATGGTGGTGGGTGGGGTTTCTGGGATGGGGCGGGGTCCAGCATGGTCCCGCCCCATCGCCCCCCTCCCTACAGTGCCTGTCCACGCTGCTGATGCTGGTGACGAGTGACATTTACACCCTGATCAACTACGTGGGGTTCATCAACTACCTGTTCTATGGGGTGACCGTGGCTGGGCAGATCGTGCTGCGCTGGCGCCAGGCCCACATGGCCCGGCCCATCAAGGTGAGCCCGCCCCCTACGCCCGTTCCCCACCCCCAGCCCCACATGGCCCGGCCCATCAAGGTGAGCCCGCCCCCTACGCCCGTTCCCCACCCCCAGCCCCACATGGCCTGGCCCATCAAGGTGAGCCTGCCTCCTGCCCTGCCCCCATTCCCCACCCCTGCCCCACATGGCCCGACCCATCAAGGTGAGCCCGCCCCCTGCCCTGTGTGCCCTGCCCCCAGCACCCATGGCCCGCCCCCTGCACCCCGCCCTACTTTGCATGGCCCACCCCATCAAGGTGAGCCCCCCCCTGCCCCATGTGCCCCCCACCTTGTGTGCCCCACCCCACCAAGTGAGCCCTGCCCTGCATATACTGCCCACTGCCCTGCCCCCAGCCCCTGCATGTCCCGCCCCCGGCTGAGTCCCCGTGTCCCCCCAGGTCAGCCTGTTCTTCCCCGTGCTCTACCTGCTCTTCTGGGCCTTCCTGCTGCTCTTCAGCCTGTGGTCAGAGCCGGTGGTGTGCGGCGTGGGGCTGGCCATCATGCTGACCGGGGTGCCCGTCTACGGGCTGGGCGTGGCCTGGCACCACAAGCCACCCGCCGTCTACACCTGCCTGGGTGAGTGGGGGTGGGGCAGCCGGCCGGGCGATGGCGGGGGAAGGGAAGCAGCCGGGCGAGGGAAGGGGCGCAGAGGGGCAGGGGAAGGGGAGCAGCCGGGCGGGGGCAGAGGGCGCAGAGGGGCGGGGGCAGAGTGTGCATCCGGGCGGGGGAGGGGCGAGGAGGGGCGGGGGCAGAGGGCGCAGCCGGGCGGGGAAGGGGCGCAGAGGGGCGGGGGAAGGGGAGCAGCCTGGGCGGGGAAGGGGCGCAGCCGGGCCGGGAAGGGGCGCAGAGGGGCGGGGGAAGGGGAGCAGAGGGGCGGGGGAAGGGGCGCAGCCGGGCGGGGGAAGGGGAGCAGCTGGCCAGCGGTTGGAGGAAGAGCCCGGGCCCCCCGGCTCTCTGACCCCCCTGTCTCCCCCCAGCGGCGGTGACGCGGGTGACCCAGAAGCTCTGTGGGGTGGTGTACCCTGAGATGGAGCCCCCCGACCCTGAGCGCACCGAGCAGCTGGAGCCCATGTGCAACACCGGGGACCCTGACAAGCCCCACGACTGAGCCCTCCACCCTGCCATGGACTGCGCCCCACGGTGCCCACGGCACCCGCCCCACATCCCGCTCCCCACGGCGCCTACTCCGCTGCCCCCATCCCACTCCCCACGGCACCCTACAGCCCCCGCCCCGCTCCCCCTGGTGCCCACCCCCGCCAATGGCCCCCGCTCCCCATGGCTCCCTACAGCCCCCACTCCACTCCCCACGGCCCCCGCCCTGCCCCGCTCCCCACACTCCAATCCCCATGGTGCCCACCCCTCCTACAGCCCCCACCCCACTCCCCACGGCGCCCCCTGCTGGCAGAGGTGGGAGCTTCATCACTCGCAGATGCCTTAACCCCGTTCTCTGGCCCCCAACGTTTGGGCCCCGACTTTGTGGCCTTTTCCACCATTTGTTTCTGGTTTTCGATGTAATAAATATAGTGACCTCAGCGCTGCGGAGCCTGGCTGGGGGGGCTGGGGACAGTGAGGGCTGCGACCCCCCAACACCACCTCCTGGGATGCCCCCAGTGCCCCCTTGCTGGGACCCCCCTAACACCCCTTCCGGGACCCCCTGGCCCCTCCCAGGATCCCCCCCAGTGCCCACTGCTGGGACCCTCCATAACACCCCTTGCTGGGACCTCCCCCAGTGCCCCATCCTGGGAGCCCCCCAGGCCCCTCCTGGGACCCCCCAGTGCCCCCTCCTGGGACCTACCCATAAATGTCTATCAGGGATGGTCTAGAC